AAATCATGTAGTTGTCAGCATCCTGCCTCCTGTTGTCCTTCTCCGGGCCTCTAGAGGTCACCTGTGTTCCCTTCTGCCTTAGTTCTTCCTCGTGCATCCTTGTTAGCTATTATGCAGGTCACCTGTGTCTTGTTTCCCTTAGAGTATTTTAGCTGTGTTTTTTCCCCCTTGTTCCGCACTCGGTTTTTGAGTCTTGGTTATGTGATTCCTGCTGTGATCCACTGTGGTGTTCTAAGTTACCAAGCAACCCCAAGTAAGCTATTCGAGTTAGTTTTTCTCCCCTCGTGGAGTTATTTTATTTTTCTCCTGTTATTGTTTGCATTATATCTTCTACTAATCATTCCTCTTTCTGAGAAGAACTTTTGTTGGATTTTCGACTTGCAAAGTACCTTTTTTTCAATAAATCTACTTTGCCTGGAGTATTGGCTTCACTGTTCAGTTTGGGTTCAACACTCTGTGGCTAAGTGGTAGAACATTCAACTCTCCACACCAGAGACCTGAGTTTGAGCCCAGCTTGTGACAGTAGTAGCATATTATAATTGTGTGAGTATGATGCATAAATCCACCCTAAGGAGTTTATTATATTTATTTTTATCTTTATGATTTCCCATTTATTGGCTTTTATTTCAACACAGCCGTTTAACCCTTGTGCATCCTTGTGGACATTTTTGTCCTTTTCAGTTTTGTTTTTTTGATCACTTTGCCTGTGTTAAAGCTAACTGCAAAAAACTTGGCACAGGTGTGTATTTTTATTGGAATTTTACTATTTCCCCGTCATTTTCTTAAAAAAATATTTTTTGCATTAGGTACAAAAAAATACTCCCTCTCAGCCCCTTTTGGACAAAAATGTCCCCATTGAAACCCATTAAAACTGCCATTTTTAATCCCCGGTTCAGTTAACTATAAAATTATGCAATCTTTGTTAAGAGGCTTTCATTCTGATGGCAAGGCTTCAAAATTGTATTTTTGACTATTTTTTTTATCAGATGGTGTCTTTTTTTAAGTTTGGCCTATAAAACAAATGTCGCTTTATTCCTGTTTTCTGGTTCGGCATACTATAGAGTCAACTGGATAAATGATGCAACGATATTTGTGTGGGTGTGTTGGTATGAATGTCAGAGTGTGGTTAGTATGTGTGTTATAAAAAAATATGCGTGTGTGTGTGCATGTGTGTGTTTGTCAGACTGAGAGAGAAAAACTGCAAATTCAAATCCAATCACTGTGAGCTCCAGTGGGGTTTTGCTGGGACCCAATGGGGAAAATATGTTACTAAGCCAAAACAAACTGTTACCGAAAGCTCATTTTTTGAGATATCATCCTCAAATTTGGAACACAACGATTTATGGCTTTGATTTTATTGTAGTTTTGAGTTCAACCTGATTTAAAAAATATACATTTTATATAAAATATTATTTTATAAATAATTTGCATAAACTTATACCTATATAACTTTTTTTTGGATTTACTTATTATTATTTTACTTCAGCAATAATCTGCAAAGGGTCTTCTTTAAAATGATACCAAACTTAAGTCTGTGCTCCAAAGCGTCACATTTTTATGACAGTTTTTTGACATGGACATTTTTGTCCTCTTTTAACCTATGTGTAACTTTTTTTAATTGATGCACAAGGGTTAAAAGTCAAATTGTTGCAATGCCAAAATTTTGAGATCGGTAAGCTTTTTATTTTAAAGAATTAATACAAGGATGCATTAAACTGATCAACATCGACTATTTAGAAATGTGCATTAATCAAAGACATACAGGGTATTCTTCAACCCAGAATTTGTGTGTGCTGTGTAACAGAACATGTTCATTTTATCTCTAAACCGCTGTCTTCACCCTCAGCCGAATGGAGACAGTGGTGAAGACCCAAGGTACAAAAACAGATGCAGAGGAAAGGCAGAACGAAGGGAGGCGTAGGAGTGAGATACAAAAAGCGAGCAAAAACAATCCCCCGCCTTTCCTGACACCACTATTGTCTTTTCCGTGACAGAGTAAATTAGTGTGATCGTCTGCGTGCGCGTCTGAGCTATCATAAGCGTATTAACACTGGCCCTGCGGGAAGCGCTGGTAATCAGGTCTGTTTGACAGAGCCAACGGGGGGGAAGTCTCTAGAGTATCCATCCATCCCATGCGCTCCAATGTATGTGATGCAGCCCTCTTTGCTAACAAATGTTTGTCTCCCTTTATTACACTGTACTGTGTTTTACTTTCGAGTTTCTTCTTTGTTTGTTTTATTTCTGTTGTGTGTGTGTGTACACACTCTAATAAATGCTGGGTTGTTTCAACCCAAATTTGGGTCAAATATGGACAAACCCAAATGTTGGGTTAGAAATGTAATTTAAAAAAATTTGAAAGTTGAAGTTGGGTGAAAATTTTAAATTACATTTTTAACCCAACATTTGGGTTTGTCCATATTTGACCCAAATTTGACCCAAATATATATATATATATATATATATATAGCTGCGTCAAGTTGAAGTTTGTGACGAGACTTGCATTCTGTATTTTGAAAATATGTAGCATTACACATCCTTATATTGAAAGCACATAAAGTTGAAACTTTTCTTTACATATTTCTATCTTTGAAGCATTCAGTTTTAAACACTATAGTATCTTCATTGAAAATCCAATCCGCATTGACCTGTTGACTACTTTTCGCAGGGAAATAATGGAAATATGGGAGCTTCTTTCTCTGCCTCTTGACTAAGATGAATTTAGCATTGGATGTTGGAGCTCGCTGAGGAATAAATCATGCCTCCCAAAAGGACTTTTTTTTTTTTTTTTTTTTCTTGAATTCATGTTGAGGATGTTTCCTGATTGCGAATTCTTCTAAGCATCCTTAAACGCTCATGGTAATTTAGATAGAGCCTAAGAGAATCCACTTGTTTTGTAGTGTTTTCTTCCTGCAACATCTTATGGAAATTCCTTATTTCTTGTCTATGCCGTTGGAATTTATTAGCAACCCCCACAGTTCATCTTTTCACTCACTCGGAGCAAAAGGTCTAGCCGACCAATCAGCTCCAGAGAAAAGAGTGCCATGCGCTGAACATTCTATGCATTAGAGACTCTGTGTTAAAAAGAGCAAAAAAAAAAATGTCTCCATGCATAGCTGTAAAACTTTTTAGGCCGTGATTGTTCAGAAGAGGTTGTGTGGAAGCCCTTGATGATTTGGATATGTATTATGCTAATTACTTTGATATGCCCTCCCTCATTTATATTTAATATTGGTTAATCAGCATTAGATGAGGGTGAGGTTTGTTCTTTCAAAAATAAATAAATAATAACTCTCATGAATATATCAATTGTGAGTGCAACTTAACTTAATTAGAAACACTCCACTCTAAACAAATTTTATATTTATATTTTATATTTAAAAAAATAATTAAATTAAATTAATATATATATATATTTGACACCTGAATCTAAAATTTGTTGGAAATATATCTCTCTATACTATACTATACTATACTATACTATACTATACTATACTATACTATACTATACTATACTATACTATGCTATGCTATGCTATGCTATGCTATACTACTGTATACTATACTATACACTGTATGTGCTCATTTGAAGACTTAAATTCAGCAAAGTAGATAGGGAATTATCCACTTTCCACTAAACTTCACTTTTTGGGGGTACTGTGTATAGCCTCATCTGAGCGAGGAGTAGAAATATATGCTCTCATGAGTGTGTGTTCACATTATGAGGGATTTTCATATGCCGGAGGACCAGGCCAGATATAGAAAGTGCTTTGGTGGCAGGTCTCTGTTGGCTTATATAGGTTTTCTCAGGAGCCAATCAGATTTCCGAGCCAATCAGACAAGAGGAGGTTTGTAGCAGCACACTTAAAATGTTCCTCACACAATGGAGAGATTTACATTTCATTCAAGGGCAGGAGGAAGCTCCTGCAGAGATGTCTAACATTATTGTGCAAATGTAAAACAGCGCTAATAGTATGTGAGCTTTAGCATTGGTGTTTGTACAACCGTATGCATCAGTTCCATACTAATAAAGAGTGCATGGTGTAGCAGCATTTTTCTCATTGGATTTTATGGATGCTTTCCACTCGAAAATCTGATTGGGTGAGCCACACTTGAAGCTTATAAAATAGCCTATATACAGTATGCAGATTTGTGACAGCATGTGGTTCATATATACATATTCATATATATATATATATATATATATATATATATATATATACACACACTCACCTAAATGACTATTAGAAGCACCTGTTCAATTTCTCAGTAATGCAATTATCTAATCAACCTATCGTTACAACTGAGGTATGTAGTAAAGCATTTGTGAAGCCACAACACGCACAGCCTTGAGGCGGATGGGCTACAATAGCAGAAGACCCCCACCGGGTACCACTCATCTCCACTACAAATAGGAAAAAGAGGTGACAATTTGTAAGAGCTCACCAAACAGTTAAAGACTGGAAAAATGTTGCCTGGTCTGATGAGTCTCGATTTCTGTTGAGACATTCAGATGGTAGAGTCAGAATTTGGCATAAACAGAATGAGAACATGGATCCATCATGCCTTGTTACCACTGTGCAGGCTGCTGGTGGTGGTGTAGTGGTGTGGGGGATGCTTTCTTGGCACACTTTAGGCCCCTTAGTCCCAATTGGGCATCCACGGCCTACCTGAGCATTGTTTCTGAAAATGTCCATCGCTTTATGGCCACCATGTACCCATCCTCTGATGGCTACTTCCAGCAGGATTATGCACCAAGTTCATGACAATGAGTTCACTGTACTAAAATGGCCCCCACAGTCACAGACCTGTTCCAATAGATCCAATAGAGTATCTTTGGGATGTGGTAAAACGGGAGCTTTGTGCCCTGGGTGTGCATCCCACAAATCTCCATCAACTGCAAGATGCTATCCTATTTATATGGGCCAACATTTCTAAAGAATGCTTTCAACACCTTGTTGAATCAATGCCACGTAGAATTGAGGCGAAATGGTGTCAAACACATGACATGTTAAAACTGTTCGGAGAGTTGTCATGATTGAAATTATTATTATTTATGAATGTATTTGTGTGTCCAGAACCTGACGATGATGAGCAGAAGGTGAAGACTCAACGGCCACGATCAGCTGACCAGCCAGGTGTGTTCCAGGCCCAGACAGGTGAATCCCATCTACTGTCAATAGCTACCTTTACATGCTCCCTCATAATACAACTTCACCTCATTTAAACACAATAGTTTGATCAAACACTTCAATATTTCACTCTGACCAAAGTGCACATGTTCTTCTGATATGTTCTTAAACATAGCGGTAAAGAAGGCATCACATTTTTGGGCTGCTGATTAAACTTATGTTGACAACATTATGCGACATTAATATAATGCAGTATATTGATGGTTGAAAACAGGTGTTGAAAAAAATCCGTAGAAATGCATAGTGTTTGCATTTGTCATGTAAGTACAGTGGCCAGTAACACACCTACTGAAGGTGAATTCATCGTCTGTGCTGTGCATTTGGATATGTAAAAAAAAAAAAAAAAAAAAAAAAAAAAGCACAATTCGAGTAATCCAAATAATGAAGTTGCATGTAAACAGGACTAAAGAGGCTTGCTTGTGTCATGTAAACATCTTACTGTAATGAAGTCCTTACTCTTATTACTGGGAAATAATTACATTATTGTTTCGTATTTCGCATTGCATTTCAGCTCCATGCAATGTTTGTTATTCAAGAGAAAGTGAATTTTCTATTCAAAAAAGTATCCTGAAAACAAAATCTCACAGATTCCACAAAAATTAAAGCAGCACATCTGTTTTCAGAATTGATAATAATAAGAAATGTTTCATGAGAGCCAAATCACCCACTTAGAATGATTTCTGAATGATCATGCGACTCTGGAGACTGGAGTAATGATGCTGAAAATTCAGTCATCAAAGGAATAAATTACATTTTAAAGCATGTTGAAACAGAAATCAGCTATTTCAAGTTGAAATAATATTTTATAATATTACTGTTTTACCAAATTTTGTTCTTAAAAAAATAAATAAATAAATCAATCTTGCTGAAACCAAATGTTTGACTGGTAGTTTGTGTATACAAGAATATATATATATATATATATATATAAGAAAAAAAAAATCTGATATATTTTAAATACATATAAATAATATATTGTAAAATCTGTTATAAATTTAAAAGTAGGCCTATATAAAATAATATAATAATATATGCAATTTGTATAAATAAATAAATAAATAAATAAATAAATAAATAAATAAATAAATAAATAAATAAATAAATAAATAAAGTATGTGAATATTCTCATCCTGAAGAAAGTGCCATCCCACCGTTTCCCCTTTTCAGCACCCTTTTCAAACTCCCGATGGTGTTCCTGTCCCCATCAGCCCCCTACCCTGTATTCTCCACCCATCCGCTCCGCAAATAAGGCTAAGCTCTGACTCATCACATGCAAATGAAGATGTAATGCGATTACAAGACGTGCAATTAATTTGATTTGCCCATTCATTTTATGATGTTGCCTCCATCCAAGGACACAGCTTTCAAAAAAAAAAAAAAAAAGACTGACATATTCCCACCCGTCACATTCAGATACGGCTACCACCGACCTTGCATCACCTTTTAGAAGACGTTAAGCTGCTGAAGACCTCAAAGGGATTTTTATGAGGTTTTTATGAATATTTGGAAATGCTTTTCTAGTTAATTGAAGGTGGCAGTGAAGCATAACCCTTCTGGACTTTTTTTTTTTTTTTTTAATTTTCTTAAAGTCTTTGCTCTCTGTCTGTGTCAGGAATATCTTATAAGATTTAGCTTTTCTCTCTCCATCTCCTGTTTTGCAGGTGACCCGGCAGCGGAGGAGTGGTCTCAGTGGAGCGTGTGTTCGCTGACATGTGGGCAAGGTTGGCAGGTTCGTTCTCGTTCTTGTGTATCCTCTCCGTACGGGACCCTCTGCAGTGGCCCGCTGAGGGAAAACCGACTCTGCAACAACACTGCCACCTGCCCAGGTGAGCCGCAGCATCAAGCAGGTAGAGTACCTCCATGCTTCTGGACGTCCCTCTACACACTTACACTTCCTCACACTGCATGACAAGGTCAAACATGAGTCAGCTTTAGTTGAATGTTTGCTTTGTTAGTAAATACTGGCCAATGCATGAACAGATACTGATATTTTTAGACATTTTGGTTAATATTAGGGGTGTAACGGTACATGTATTCGTATTGAACCGTTTCGGTTCGAAGCTTCCGGTTCGGTAAGCATACAAACCTAACGATTCCTTGGACCATTTTTCCTGTCGACAAAATTCCACCACAACGTTGCGCAACATCAAATAGCAAGCGTAACGAAACTGCGCTACACATTATGTGCTTCATGGGTCATTTATAGCGCAAGCCGATCTCGATCAAGCGACACTGTTACTACAAGAGATCCAGTAAAGAAAACATTTGAATTTACCACTGAAATAATTACATCTCTGCGAGATCTAGTGAGAAGTATTCACATTTCTCCGTTATTAACCGTAGATCTCTGTTACATCAAACAGCGCTGACGTGGAAACCAGGAGAAACTTTGTGCCGTAAATGAACTGGTAATACTTTACGTCCACAGACCAGCAACATTCACCATGGATTTAATATAGTAACACTAACAGGAACCAGTTTGGCTGGAATTTGAAATGCTTTCAAGTATTTCACACATCTTTTTCCAGCACTTCAAAACTCAAATATTATAGAAATAAATATACATTTAAATGTTATTTTTAATGTGATGACCAAAACATTATTTGTTCATCCTTCAAAGATGACTCCCATTTATAAACCTGAAATTTTCAAGATGTAGGAAAAGTCAAACTTATTTATTTTTTTTTTTTTCTTTTAACAAATAGGACATTTCTCTGGCATTTCTTTCTTTCTGTTGTATCGAAAACGTACCGAAACGTAACTTTAAACCCGTGGTACGTACCGAACCGTGATTTCGATCCCGTTCTCATCCTTTAACATCATATAGAACGCTACATGCAAAAACGGCGCTATACTACGCACATGGCACCCTTTATCGTTAATATAACACGTGAACCCAAGACGTCATAAATCCTTTAGCGTGAATATGACACGCAGACCCTACCCCACACCTAAACTTAGCCCTCACAGCGCGTGTTATATTAACGATAACGGGTGCCATGTGCGTAGTATAGCGCCGTTTTTGCATATAGCGTTCTATATGACGTTAAAGGATGAGAATGCGTTGTGATTTCTGTGTACCGTTACACCCCTAGTTAATATTATTCCTTTTGCACTGCACACACATGTACTACTGTATGTCACACTGCATGCTTAAAATACATGTGCATCACCCACCCACCCCAACACACACACACACTGCATTTCTGTTTAGTATCTATTGTGGCATTGAGTACAATGGGCGCTGTTGTACTGCATTGATATCAACCAAGTCTTTAAGTATTTTTCGTCCATGTCCTTGAGTGCACTTGAGTTTGGTGTGATGCTGGGGAGATCAGTGCAGGTCTCACTGGCATTTTTGTTTGCACGTCTGCACCTGAATGAATATCAGCATGTTAAAAGAAAACACTATTAAATGGACATTTACAGTCCTGGATGCTGACTGGTCAGTTCAGCATTCACGGGGTGCTAAAAGCCGCATTATACAACATGGACTCTTCAATGTTTGTATCACGTAGCTTTTATGTGTTGGTTCCAGACAGATTGTCTGTCTTGTGTGTTAGTGGTGGGGGTTTTTCAGTGACTCTTTTTGCAGGTTACATCGATTCGCCTGTAGGTGACGACAGTAGGATCCTTTTGAGTGAGTCATTGAATTATTCATTCAGTCGATTTGTTCAATAATATGGATTCATTCAGGAACTTAAGAAGACACTGTATTTATGAGTAAAAGACAGAACTATGTTGGCTTTATGAGAGGGATTTTCTATCCTGTGTCAATTAAATGACCTTTGCAATTGTTCATAATCTGTAATCGTTAATATTGACAGTACAATTTGCACATTTTTTTTGCACTACCTGCTGATTTAAGAAATAAAACAGTGCTTAGGAAGCTCAATTATGAGGGGATAAAATTGCATCCCCCATTTAGTGTCAATTACCAACTATAAATGTACTCTACCGTTCAAATGTTTGAGGTCAGGATATTTTTTTTATTATTATTTTTATTCAGCAAGGATGCATTTGAGTTGATCAAAAGTGACAGTGAAGACATTTATAATGGTACAAAATATATATATTTTTTTAAAAATGTCTATTCAATAAATAATCCAGAGCAATTTTATTATCTCAGTTTGCACCAAAATATTAAGCAACAACGTTTCAACATTGATAATAACAGAAAATGTGTCTCAATAGACTGATTTCCGAAGGATCATGTGACACTGAAGACTGGAGTAAATGCTGAAAATTCAGCTTTGTCATCACAAGAATAAAATAAATTTTAACGTATATTAAAATAGAAAACATTTATTTTAAGTTTGAATACTATCTCACGGTATATTTTTTTAATATATATGTTATATATCGTCGGTGTATGAATGGGTGAATGTGAGGCAATATGTAAAGCGCATTGATTGCCCATTGGGTCTGCAAAAGCGCTATATAAATGCAGTCGATTTACCATTACCATTTTAATACATACACTGTAAAAAAATATTGTTGGTTTAACTTAAAAAGTAAGTAACTTGGTTGCCTTAAAATTTTAAGTTGATTGAACTGGAAAAAGTGAGTTAATACAATGCAGGAGATTAATTTAATCATCAGAAACTCAAAATAATAAGTTATCACAACTAAATAAATTATTTAAGTTGATTTGACAAAAGAAAAAAATGTTGTGATAACAAATCTTGAAAATATTTTTTTACAGTGTATCTGATCAAATAAATGCAGCCTTGGTGAGCATAAGAGACTTTCAAAAACATTAATTACATAATCATGTGGCCACAGACTTTTGAACGGTAGTATACAGTATATAATTAGCATTTCATGTCGTATTGCTCAAGTATGACTTTAGACCTTTCCCAGTCCACAAACCTGTCCGTTTTCCCTCAACAGTTTGTATTGTTTTGGAGATGGGTGAAATGATTAAATATATGGTAACAACATTAACCCCAGTCAGCAATGGTCTTTTGAAGGATTAAACTTTCTATTTAAACGCTGAGTAGTGATTGCTAATCTTCATGCTTACAAGACATAGACAGAGTGGCCTTTATTGCAGATCATCAGCTGTGCTGTGTAAGTCCTTCTATGTGTTAATTCTATATTTATGTAAATCGGGGTAACTCAATATACCTCTCACTTGTGCATTCAGCATGAGTTCTGATATTCAGCTTCTGGGCTTTGATGAGATGGTTGACATGTTCACAGCACAAGTGTTCGGATCAGCGCTTTAGGACGTGATTTAAGGACATCAGCAGATGATCTCATGATCTGCCGAGCAGGCGAGCCTGGAGAGAATCAAAGTGAGGGATTTCTCCTGGAAATATCTGCTTGCCGAGGATTGATTCTGAGCGGCGATCGATGAAGCTCAGATATGAGTGACCGACGTTACGTTTAGACACGCAAACGTTCGGATTGCATTGATTTTCGATGCTTAAGACAGAAAAGCTGATTATAGCGAAACAATCCGTCAATAAAAAAGGAAACAAAGCAGTCGGTTATAAGAACACAAGATGCTTGCTGTTTAGTTCTTTTTCTGAGCCTTTTACAATATTTATGCTGACAACATAAACAGTCAGGCACTATATTTACTAAAGGGATTCAAAATTGGCAGAGAAAGACCATGTTAACCAGAGCAGAGCCGCATGTGTGTGTGTGTGCATGTGTTCATAGATTACTTTCACTCCGCGGGAAGTGGGATGCGCACTGGCGGAAAGGGACCGACTGTCTTTGAGATTAGCCTGAGCTGTAGCGTAGCTTTAACTCTCAATGGAAGTCCCTTGGTCCTCCTTTTGGCTCGCGTTCAAACGAACTTAATTGATTTGCGAAAGCAATTAAGGCTAGGTTTATTTAGTTTGGAGGAGAGTTATTATTCAAAATTGATCAAGCACAGCCTTCAAATAAAATGGGTTCTTTTTAAAATAACAGCAATTCCGGCTGCAGTCTGAAATTGCTCTCTGTTTGCTCATTAGCTAATCTCAATCTAGAGCTCGGTTTAATTTGTGGACAAAAGCCATCGATAGCTGTTTCCGTCGGAATTAACATCGCACGTTCTTGAAATTTGTTCTCTGTTGCTTTCTCGGGAAAGGCAAGGGATGGTTTACCATGTGAAATGTTTATTTTGTTTTATCATAACATTGTATTTCTATTTAATGCGTCTTACAAGCCATCTCATAAGAGGAAAACAGGGGAGACGGGCTAGTTGTCAGACTTTTGGGAGAGAAATTTCATGACATTTTGCATAGAGTGATATGTTTTTACAAGACATGGGGAAAGTTGTCACAATGGAAGCTACCAATAAACAAAAAAATATACTAAGTTTACATGACAACGATGTAGTGCGTTTTTTGAGTACAGACGACAATATTGTCAAAACGATGCCGGTTTACTTGCATCCATGAAAACGACTAAAAACATTGAACATGTAATACACGCACACATGACTGTCACTCTTTTCACAAATTCGTGCTTTTGTAGTTTACACAGAGACGATAATGGTTTTGTTTGTTTTTAAAATCTTGACTTTCAGCTCAAGTCTAGCTCACAATCTTTTTGAAAAATGCAACTTAAATGGGCATGCGCAAAGTCCTTTTAGGCAAGTCATGCCACTCGAGTCACCATCTTTGCAACGCCTCCGGGCAGCTATTTCGGACTTAACAAGACCAGGCTCTATCTAAATAAATGGGTAGAGAGTCAGAAATGCATTTTTACTGGTCACCGCAACATAAAAACTGCATGTATAGAAACAGTGGTAAAATATAATAAAAATCGCTGAAAAAGTTTGACTTTGCCACAAAATAAGGTTTACAACGTCGTTTTTCCCACAGGT